TCATTATTCTATTGAATTAGAGAACAGAGAACTAGTAGTGGTTTCTCCGCTGATTAATGTGGTGCTACCAGAAAAACATCGCGTTATCGATTTATTGCTCCTATTGGAGCTCCTATTTCGTTTATTTCTACCTGAATCGATTACCAACTCTTTTCTGAATTCAAAAGGTCATTATGGATTTTATTCTTAAATCAAAAATAACGGAGGTACACGCCTTTTTAACTTCTCCTCAAGTTTGCCAAGAAATTTGAAATTAATACAGAATAATGCACATCAGTTACAATATTTGCTGAATCTCTCTCTCTAAAGTCATTGATATCGGGTCGAAAAAATTCCGACTGGGCTTCAGAGCGATACCTTTTTAGAAAAAATGATTCCAGATCGAAGATATTTTCTAATAGGATGCACAAAATAAAAATTTTTCTGCCAAAAGTAGGTTAGGTTAGCTCCAAAGTTAGTGGGTCTATTCTACCCTCCACCACAACCCGCAAAGGTTTATTGTGACTCACGACCAAATAAACACAGCTTCTTAACGAAGCCGATTAGTTTGTATGGTGATTGGTCTTACAAGTCAGATGGAAAGAGTACGGCTCTGACGAACTTTAAAAACATGATTCGGTCCCCAGCGGGGCAGGCACAAAGTATGTGCTCTGCTGTATCATCATTTTCTGAACAGAGGCGACACACACTGTCTTCCGATAGTTCAAGCCTCTGCCTGCCAAAAGTAAGTCAAAGAAAACATTTGCAGTGGACGAAGAAACTGAAATAAATATTGTAGCTCATTTTGAAGCATTTTCGAAACTATTCAGAACATTTCGAATCTTCCTTTCTATGGAAGATTCCCACATTTTTCTGTATCAAGTAGGAGTAGTAGAAAGTCAAAAACTTTTTTTCCCAAAAATTGGTTACTCCTGAAAATATAACCCTTTTAAACCCTTCAGATTCCTTCTGGCTGGGATTTAATCAAATAGGTGAATGAATGTCATTCACCTATGCTTTTTCTTGTAATGTTATTCAGATTGGTACTGAACAGCCCTAAGGCAACCCTAAGGCAAGTGTCTTACGGTGGGAACATCAATGTATACCAGTGACGAAGACAGTGTTCCATGTAAGTGAAATTTTCATTTTGATTTAGTATATTGTGTAGAAACCCTGTGAATGATATCTGATTTCATTCCATAACGAACGTTTGGAATACAAACTGAGCAGAAAAAAGTGTTATCTGTATAATTCAGTGTTCATATAAAAGTATTTGTTTCGGAAGAATTTTTCTTTCGTGTAGGTAATTCAATGTTTATATGAAAGTAGTTGTTTCCTGAAGGCTTTTTCTTACAGTTTGTGTCTAAAAGTTACTTCTCTGCATGATCTACACATCTATGTATATAGTTACTACTTTAAACATTGATTACTTCCTTCCTTTCTTTGGAAGATTCCCACATTTTTCTGTATCAAGATATAGAGTAGCAGAAAGTTAAAAACTTTCTTTCCCGAGAAATAATATGTTGATTGCAACAGGTACTTTGGAAAGTAAGACTTAGCCATCGTCTAAAGTCTGTTTGTGGATAATTTTAAACTCTATGGGTAATTAATGAAAGAAATAACTTTTGTATCTCTTCAATTATATCGTTCGAGCTTTTTGAAGGACCTTGTATGCTATTTTCCTGAATAATCAGTAAACATTCAATTTTCACAAGCTCTCTCATTCAGAAATTAATCAATTTCATTCTGGAAATAAATGTATAGATTTCCACTACCTTTGAACAATACCTATATGGAATAATCGAATTTTGTTGGGAATTCCCATTTTTCTAGGATGTTATTTCATATTTTCCTAGAAAGAATGTATGCTATCAATTTGATTATGATCAAAGTTGAAAGTCTGTAAATTCATTCAGTGAATATTGATTGATAAAAAAACTTACAGATAAATTACAAAATAGATACCGACCATTGTGAACGAAGTTTTCATTTCTAAAGTCATTAACCTTGAACTCCGAACTGTAATATTTCCAAGAAACACGTTCCATTGTAATCAAGATCAAGACGAATGCCCAGCAAAAGTTAGAATGCGTATTTCTCAACGTCTGCTAATTCATTGTCTTCAATGATTAAACGTGCTTAATTTATTACTTCCCTGGAAGATCCTGGCTCCATCTCCGTTCGTGTGCAGAGGGTGTTGCAACCAGAGAAAGGGATGATATTTATTTCGTGATTAGATCCTTTATCAAGTTTGGGGGAAAATATTGTTCGTTTTAAACGTTCATTATCTCTCACTTAGAACCATATCCTTTTTAATTCAACAGTTTTTGAACACATATTTGATTTTTCGATAATAAGATTTCTGGGAGCTTGAGAATTATTGGATCATTGTTTGGAGAATACTTTTGGTTATATAAATGCATCATCATGTATATTTTTCAGGAGAGATCAATTTTTGAGAACGTAAAGTTTTTGCTTTCCACTTCTCCATCTTTATACATCTTTATGTAAGTGTTATCACATCTCACACGAACAGCTATATTGAGTAAATAATCAAGACATATTAGTCGAAGATTTGCATTAAAGTTCTACAAGTATGAATCGCTACACCAGTGTATATACATCTTACATCAAATCAATTGATGTGAATATCGACATTATGACAGTTTAAATATTTAAATGGTTAAAGAATAGTTCCTTGTTGATTGCAGATGTCGCTGGAATTGGATAGGTAATAATTGTACAATTTTTTTGTAATTTCTTGTAATACAAATTGAGTCCAACATCCATGCCTTTCCAATTTCAATAGGTATCCAATCAATTTCTTCGATTTGATTTCGAAAAATACTTTTTGTTGCATGGATTATAGGTAATAAACATGAATCAAATTATTCTACAAAATGATTCTACAAAATCGTCAATGGGTTGTTAATTACGGAATATAAATATTCTTTTGATATACTGAATTTGAGGAACACATTCTTCGAAATTATGAATATTCAACTTTATATTCAGAAGTAAAGATTTATCATCTGCAGAACGGTGTTATTTAATTGATTGTTGAAATTCAAAAGACATATTAGCGACATCTCTATTAGAGTAGTGAAACTATATGGGCACCACACTAAGAGAACTGAACAAAAATTACTGTAACTGTGTTGATGCGATTAGATGATAGATGTCTTTACTCACCTTTTCAAAAAATATTTTGGAAGTTTGTACTGATTGATTTGTTCATCGCTCTCACAGATGATAACGAGGAAAATAGATGTAGAGTGAATCTCCTAATCGCCAAAACTCATGAGATGAATGGTATGTTGAAGATGAATAAATCAATATGTTGCAAACATGTCACATAAAATCAATATTACATTAGGAATATCAATCTACTTATATTTTGTGCCTTTTTCATTGTAGGAAACATTTCCGATCGATGAAGGAAAAAGTTTGGTTATCTGTAGAAATCTTCTTTTACAAAAACAGTGTTACAGGTAGATGTCTCTGCCGGTCACACGTTAGGTACAAGTTTATATAGCATACAGGGCGTTTCCTAACTACGCTATGAAACTTCAGATGGTGATTCGTTAGGTTGTTTTAAGAAAAAATACACGGCGTTGAAGTTTGAAAAAAACGTTACTTAAATAAAATAATTTTTATTATCTTTACACCGATTTGGTTGAAATTTGCTACCGTTGTTTGGATGGATCACTAGGAATGACACATGGAGAGAGATTTGTGTGGTTTGAATTTGTGATTCACTTTTTGTAATCGGCTGTGATTACACGAAATGAATCACAAACCAGCTTTTTCACCTCAACGGTCGAAAACTTTACATGAGGGTTATTCAATTTTGACAAAAAACAAAGAACATAAAAGTTCACGCATTAAACTTATGTCGGTGATTTTTAGCATATGATAACATTCATAGACACTGAGTGTCTACACTATGAGTGTAGAATCACGTATTTCTCACAAAGTTTAGTAAAATCAGCTCAAAACTGTGGTATTTCCACATAATTCACAGAAACTCAAAAATTACGACATTTTTCTTAAGTTCGTTTCAAATTTTTTAGAAAAACATTAACTATAGTAAAATGTCGTATTTCTCACATGATTCATACAAATAACCCAATAACATAACCCAAATATCTCTTAAGTATATTTATATGTGAAGTAATACAAATTATGAAATTATGAAACAAAAAACAAACATTAATTGGCGCTTCGGGGAGACTTGATTCATTCTAGTGGCGCATTTGCTTTTTCAGCTGCAGGAAAACCCAGAAAAACCTGCAGCACCACATCATCTGAAGATCTTGATCAGCCAATGTCCTCTCTTTCATAGATTAAAACGTAGGGCTCCAATAAATTCAAGATATCGCCCTTGAAGAAACATTATTATTATTATTTCGAACCTCCGTAAGAGTTTAGTGCTTCTGTCACTTGAGCCATGTTTGAAGATCATCATCAAATAACAAGTGTATGTTGATGCAATTGATTGCTTCTCCGATATCTACTGGGTTGAAGGAAGAATCAATTTTCAAGAATCATCAGCATGGAGACGGTAATAACAATAATTTGGTTTTCCATTGACAGTGATTGTGTACAGTGTACGGAACATTGGACCCAAAGTACTGCCTTGCGGAACCCCTGTATTTATCTGACTACAACTAGAGGATATGCTCCATCAATTTGCACATAATGTATAAGGACTCTGAACTGACAAAATTCATATTTTAGGAAATATTTCTCGAAATTAATTCAGTTCCATAAATCCTTTCATCTCATTTACAAACCCTCGGCAATATGCTTCACGAACCTGCCGTAATTCTAATGAAATTCAAATGAAACAAGAGGGAAAGTAAAGAAGTGAAATTGAATGTTCTTTGTTAGTGAATTCCAATAAGAGAACACGATTTTTCACTCAAGTGTTTACGGAGACAACCTGCATAGTCACTTAAGTTTTTGCAGCGGAACCCCGACTTCTAAATAATGCATGCAATCGCCCACATACTGGGCCAGTTCTGATTTCGCTTTCGAGAACACAGGATGAGAAAGGTATTTGCGGTTGATATTTTGGAAAATTGTAGTCAGAGAGATGAAGGTCGTTTTGGTTTCAGGCGATATTACTGGTGATTATGGAAGTAGTGTTCATGGGTGAAAGCTTTGCAGGACACAAAAAGGATGATGACTTGCAAGGAACGCAGAGTGATAAGGTTTTTTATCAATACATAGACCCTGTTTTGAAATATTCTCACATTTCTACGGACCAACAAGATGATCGTGTTTACAAAAGTGAGTAGAAAAACTATTACTCACATTATTATTCATTTTTCACCTGACACGGTAATTTGGTTGGGAATCAAAATACTCAAAATACCACACAACTGCTGATATCATCAATATCATGTCACAACCTACTGATATCATCAATGGCACAATATCCCAACCTGAGGATATCATTAATATCAGCAGGTTATGTTCCATAGACAAGTGATTTGAGATGTCACTAAAGATAAAAGTCCATAGGAGTTGCTCTTGTTCTGCAACCATACCGCCAAGGAGAAACATCTTCAGATGAAAACAAATTATCTGGGGTTGTTACAAATTATCGTAATTTACTGCTGGATAAATATTACTGGAGTTTTTTCTCAATACTAAATCGTTATTTTCAACACCTCGACACGTGTTTCGATCACCAAGTGATCATCTTCAAAGAGGAAGATCAATCTTCCTCATATAAAATGACTTGAAATCCCTGGAAGAACTATTACACATTGAAATTAAAATGAATAGCCAACAATAACAATTATATCAAGCAAAAAACCATGAAATGAAATTACAGTGAAATAAAATAAAAGCGAAAATTTGAAAATTGAACAATTGTACAAAAAAAGGAAGTAAAAATTACGAGATTTCAAGCCAAGTTACTTAATGACGTTTCGAATTAGTCTTCGGGTAATGACTGGACGGGATATGGCCGCCAACTCTCGTCAAACGGTCATCTCCCGCTAAACCGGTGAGGCGGATACAGGGAAGAGAGGATAGGTGGTTAAAGCACACGAATGACCTATAAATAGTCATCTTTCGGAGCAATTAGTTCAGTCATTAACCGAAGACGATTGGGGATACTAACATTCGAAACGTCGTGACGTAACTTGGCTTGAAATCACTCAATTGTAAAATTTTTTGCTTGTATTTGATTTTACTGTAATTTAATTTCAGGATTTTTATGCTCAATCAAATTGTTATTTCCAGCTATTCATTTCAATTTTCGATTGTATTGGATTTCAAATCATTTTATATCATACTAGTTGTTTCCCGCGGCTTCGCCCGCGTAGAATTTGGTAGTTGTAGTACTAATTAGTACTATGTTGCTGTATCGCTGCTGTTCCAATGTTTTGACAGAATCAGAATCAAGGAACTTAGGCGTGCGCAGCGTTATAGAACAGTGCTTTCAAAAATTATTCTACAGCGCCATCTAGTGGCGAGTTACAGAAAAACTGATAGTCTAAGCTAAAAACCTTCTCTATGAAAAATTACTTATACATGTCAAGTTTCATTACGATCGGTTGAGCGATGTAGAAGTTTATCACTTACCAACCAACCAACCAACCAACCAACAAACATCCATTTTTATATATTAGATTAAATAACACAGGTCTGCAAAAAAAACTTTAAAAAAAAATGTTTTGATTTCGTTAACTGATCTTTATGTAGTTTTTTGCGCTGATTTCAAAAATGACATTTGGTTTTATCTATCACGTGAGGTTTGCCTACAAAATAAGAATGAAATAATTGAAAAAGTACAAAAAAACTAGGAATTGTGGATTTATTTTTATTATTTCAACATGAAGTAAAAGAAAAAAAACAATGCTGCATAGCTAAACTAAGCATAATAGTGATACACAAGTATTTGTGAAGTGTTATAAATCTTTGTATAAACGTTTTTTTTTCGTCAAAGCTTCTTTTGGTATTTTTCTGGCTGTGTTCTTGTGAATTTCCCTTTTTAACATCCAACAGTTGTCTGTCATCATGTTAACATTCCACCGACCTTGGTATCTGCGTTCCATTTCTTTTATGTCTTGATGGAATCGTTCTCCTTGTTCCTTACTTACAGCCCCTAGATTTTCAGGAAAGTAGTCCAGATGTGAGTGAAGGAAATGGACTTTGACACTCATGTTGCAGCCCAACATTTTATAGTTTTGTATCAATTCAGCAACAAAAGTTTTGTAGTTTGGGTCTTTTTTGTTTCCAAGAAAGCCTGTTATAACAAGTTTAAATGAATTCCAGGTATTTTTTTTCATTTCCATTTTAATGACAAAGCTTTCATCTTTCAGAAGTTTTTTTATGTCAGGCTCAACGAAGACTCCTTCTTTTAGTTTAGCATCGGATAGACCAGGAAACTTTTCAGAAAGGCACTTGAAACAATCTCCTTCTTTGACTAATGCTTTCACAAACTGTTTCATTAGCCCGGCTTTGATATGGAGTGGTGGAAGTGACAATTTTTAGAATCCACTAAACTTTGTTTCTCAACATTTTTAACTCCAGGAATAAGACCCTTTCTTATTCGGCTATCCCATTCACATAGGAAAAATGGAAACTTAGTGTAACCAATTTGTTGATCTAATAACATTGAAATAACTTTCAAGTCTTCACAAATGGTCCACTTATGATCAGAGTAGCTGAGCTTAGTGAGAAGAAATTCAAGATTTTCGTAGCACAGGCACAGAAGCATATTGGTTTCCATTCTGAAGAAGTATAGCTTTCAAACTTCTTTTTGATGAATCGATGAAGTCTTCATTTCTCTGGTTCATACGTTATATTGTTGCAGAAAACTAGGTCACCCACTTGTGTAAAAAAAAAGGGACAAATTCCCTTTCTCTAAATCGGTACCATGAAAATGAAACACAAACATATGTCTTTTTTAAAGTTTAGACCCTAAAATTTTTTGCTGAGTCCTTCGGGAGGCTGGATTTCCCAGTTTAGATTCGTTATGTTATTGAAATAAATAGATTGAAACCGTATTTCATCTTAGATATACACTCACATTAAGTAGTCACTTGTACATCATAAAAGCTCCATAATTCAGACTCAATTTACCGCTTTATATAGGCTATATAATACAGAAACATCGAACTCTTACCGAACCTAAAAACCCAATTAATGAGAATTGTGACTTATCTATGAGTGACAGAATTTTTTTATTATTTTTTCCGTAATCTGCACACAAAATAATGTTAAAATCACTAGTGAAATATCCTACAATTTTTTCATCGTAGACCTGTGTAATGGAAGTCCGAACTATTGAAATACATACTACTAATTATCAGATCAGAACATTTTCTTTACGTTTTATTGGCAGAATAAGAACTACATGAAACAGAAACAAGATTTTGAGTCGTTGACAATGAAGTCCTTCGACCGGCATCTAAAGTTGAGGGTGAAGAAATTGTGATTGTCAATAATAAGATTATTGAAAATACATTCATTGCTCATCGAAAATAGTACTAAATATTTTTTTAATGAATAACAATTCATATTTGATATGGATTCTGCTTCAAATCGAGAATTTTTACTCGCATTTGATCTTTCACCTAAGTCAAAAATAAAAAAATATGGAATGGCAATTTTTTCATGATATACCTACTAGGGAATAATAAGAAAAATAGAGAAAGAAAGGAAAAAAAGTAGAGAAGAAGTGAAAATAAAACAACAGTGATATTGAGACAAAGAACTGAACAGAATATATTTCTCAGTAATTTTTTGTTTGTGTTCGTCTATTAGTCTACAGTGTTGAATATGAAAAACTTTCATCAGGATTTTCGCTGCAGACGCAGACATAGTTACTCTGATATTATTATATAAATTATTAAATTATAAATTATGAAATGGCCTTATACTATATCATTATATATAAAAAAATCGTTCAAATATGTCGTTTTCATCGGAAAAGATGCTTAAAATCATCTTCCTCCGCAGATTCAGGTTATGCACATCTATTCTATATGACAGTGGTTCTAATAAGTAGAGAGGGCTGATGTATTTGATGATTTCATTGAATATGCATGCTACAAGAAAACGTCTACGATTGAACATATCCAATAACTTCAAATCTGCTAATTTGTGTAAAATTCTAAATCTTTTTCTAATGCCAAATATTAACCGGATGCAAGAATTTTGAACGCTCTGTATGCAACGTCTGTCGTTTGTCTATACAGGGATGTTGTCGATGTTGTCTACACATTGAGCAACAACTGATGAATCACATAGCATCTGACATCTACATTCAAATATTGTCTATGAGGATATATCAGTTTCAGAGATAAATGAGCATGAGTTTTTGTAAGTTTTTGATCTGAAATCAACCTTAAATTTTTTCAATACTACCTTGATTGTATCTTAGAATTTCCCAATTCTGAACTGTATTACTTTACTTTTTCTCCAATACTATTGGAAAATACTATCAATGATGGTATATTAATGAAAATCCATATTCAAAAATTGGAATGGAAAGTCATTGCATTCTTTAAAACAAATGAAATATTGGTGTTGTCTTTCAATTGTATTTAAGTGATAATATTTTTCCAGCGTACTCACCTCCACATCTTCCATTGATGCCACAAACTTCAACAGTGGACCTGCAACACTTGGTCGATAAGAACCCTCTTGCTGCTTCACTTCTCTTGAGCTCCATGCTCCACTTACCTTCCATGTATGCACTAGCCAATCATCCAGAGTTGCTCCCAATCAACCCTTATATAGCTCTTCTGCTGTCTCAATATGGAAGATATCTACCCCAACACGGGGCCAGCAAAGGATTATATGGATACCAGGCAGCCAATAATTACCACAACAACAAACCGTTCGGGTCATATAAAATCTATGACGACAGCGAGTGAATATGATGAAGACATTGGAATAGGGATGTTGTGACTCAGTGGGAATCATGTGAGTCTTCATGAAATGGAGATTTTTGTTTGTACTTATTTTTTTACTTTTGTAATATAAATATTCTATCTGTCATTTTCATTATGAGTGACTTTGTTTGGATAATTTTGTATAAAATTAATTTTTTTCATAATAGTTTTTTATAATAGTTTAGGTAAATTTATCAAAAACAATAAAGACAAAACTTCAGTGTCGGATAGATCAGGTATATGAGTTGACTTGTTCTCTTGCCCAAAACTTTATATTGGCCAAACAGGGAGAACTTTTGCCCAAAGAATCAAAGAGCATAGAAGTAGTTTCGTGAATAGAAAGACCAATTCAACATCTGCAAATCATCTTTCAACAGAAGGACATGAGTTCAATCATGAATGTGACGTGTTACATTCAGATGAGAGACATTTGAAACTCAATCTAATGGAATGTTCAGAAATGAATACATTAAGGAATTTGGGTGATTTACTGAATGACCAAATAGAATAACTCAACGTTACTGAATATTTTTCAAATGTGGAAACTGGTACATAAGCTCAGGTCATTTCACTAATTTCATTACAAACTCAAGTACACATTCAACATTATTTAGCTAGTTAAAACTCAGGTACTTGAAATCAAGGTACTTCAAATTGTAAATATATATATAGAGTATTGAATATGTAGATTTAGTTTGAGTTGCAGTAAAACTGTTAAGTGAAAATCTCACAATAAAGCGTTTTATAAATAAGAGAATATTCCAGAAAAAAGTCAAGGTTGCTTTTCTAAAAGCAACGTGATTTTTTTGAGTAAGGTAACTGAAGAACAAAAAAAAATGAATTGCAAATTTCTTCATACTTTCACGGTTAGATATCATCTTGATTAATGTTCCACAGTTTGGTGCCCCCGTTACGTTACAGTGATGTATGTATACTATGACTATGTTGTATTAGAATGTAATTGAACAAGCTTCTGTCCAAATTATCCCTACCTGTCTCTAGTCTTTCAACTAGGCGGATTCAATAACTCACACAACAGCTTCGCCACGAGAACTCTTCATATAACTAACTCTTTGATTAACCTTCAAGTCTTCAATATTATGATTTCGATACAATAATTATGAACGAAACTTTGATTTTGTTTTTCATCTTTCCACATAATTGAACAACATGTACTGTTACAAAAGTAGGTCAAATAAATGAATTGTCAAAGCGAATGATGGGTTAGTAGTTGAAATAAATATTGTCTAAGACCTTTGCGTTCACCTGATACCCTTCCAAATAACTGGTTGAATTAGTTGTACACCTGAAATTCATAACTGAATTTTGGAACAACCATTTCAATGGATCAAAGAGTCTGAACTTTCATGGTCGGGTTTATTGACCATAGGGTCAATGTTTTCATGCATGACGTTTCGTCGGCATCAGACATTGTGATCTAGCTGCCCTCCCAGCAGATACCATTTCGTTGATTTGGATCTATCATTTTATTCTATTGGTGGTGAGTGTGGCCTTATTCCTTTACTATATTAATGGATCTGATACACGTGTAACTCATTGCAGACAGTCACTTGCTTCATTCTTTTGATTGAAATTTCTCAACTTTTATCGCCTCCCTTGGATTGAAACTATCGAGTGTTCAAAGGGACCCTTGAACACAATAACGTGGGTGCCATTTCTGAGTGCTACTCCTGATTCGTGGATATGTTTCAAGCAGGATTTCTTTTCATGTTCAGAAAACCAAGTACTCATACTCCTCTTCATGGTTCCAATGAAGACCGATCCACATCAACAGTATTGCTCAAGGCCCTCTAGGGTCCTTAGCTCACATTAGATTCTCCTGTCTTCATATTGTTTTTCTCCAGATCCTAATCTGGTCCGTAACAATATTCACATAGAGCAGAAAATCCTTCGGGTTATACAATGTACAAAAAAACAACGCAAATGAATAAGTATCTGAATAAAAACTTCAGAAAATGAGTAGTATTTGAAACTTTAGTTGGGAAGGTTCAACGTATCTGTGAACCTGAGATCCTTCTCGAAAACTAGAATGCCTTGGGAGGGAATGCGTAGGGAGGAGCCGATTTTGGGAATTTTGAGAAATCCGGTAAATGATTTGAAGGGAGCCTAGAGGTGCTTTATTGAACTTAGGTTGCTATATAGGGAGGCGATGAAAAAGATCAAAAACTAACAAGTATGAAGCCTGGGTACCTGTACTATATTACATACGTCATTTGATCTGACCAATAGGATCAACAGCGATGGAATGAAGTCGGAGACCCAAACCAACAATGTGGAATCCGCTGTGAGAACAAATAGAGCCCTTCGTCCACCACACCCTATCGCAGTGGAAGAAATAGTATACATACGTATTAGGAAACGTTGATTCAAGAAATTTCAATAGATGATAGTTCAATTATTGCATTTGGAACAGATGACGTCTTGATATGATAAAATTCATGCCATTAACAAATCGATATCTCATCACTGAAAATAACGGATTATATTTTAGGAGTTTACCGACAGCTCCTTCAAGGAATCATCAGCTAGTTACCTACCCATTAGAATGATATCTGAGCCGCACATTCTCCAGTATTACATCTTGACACCCACCCACGCCCGTGCTTGTCTTCTATCATCACGTTATAACAGGCAGCTTTAGGCAAAGCTTCGGGTCCCAAATTTCAATTAGAGATGAAGCTGTGAGAGACACAACTCGAGTTGTGATATCAAATGTAGGTGTGAGGTTCAATTACTGCAATATTGACAATCCTTTATTAATGTCACACTTGTTGAGTTAGATGATACGTTGAAGTTTGGATAATAATAATGATAAAGAAGTCTTTCACGGCCCATTGTGTTTTCTTAGGAAGATTCTTGGACTACTTTATTAAAGTGTGGAGAATGGTTATTTATTGACTCCGGCGCTTCCTTTGTAGGGTTAGAGCTACGGGAAAAGAGCTAGAATGGTACAACTTTTTTGATATTGCTGGTGGAATAGTATCCTCATATCGTTGGTATGGAACTCGGTATAAAATCCATTATTCATTTTGAGATTTTTGCTGCATTATGCCACGTTATGGATCAGACCTTTCCAACTTTAAAAACGATAATAACTGTCATAAAACATTAACTTACTTCTAGGACTAGGATGTAGCTGACATAGTCAACAGTCATTTCAGCAAATTCGTCAAAAACAATTCAGACAAAACCTCAGTGCTGGATAGTTCAGAATATATTCTCCTCATCTGCACATAAGTGAATTTGTGATCCTTATCCAAAACTTCATATTGGTCAAACTCAGAGAACCGTTTCTCAAAGGATAGAGAGTGCATAGAAATGTAGCCTTTCACGGCTGGCGTCGATGCTTTGGTTGGTTTCCGGGTTTTACCGTGGTCTTCTTTGATTACAATCTCTAAACGTTTCAACTGTAACTGCGGCAGTCATCTTCAGTGCCGTGGTCGAAGTACTCCTCTTGACGTACCAACTGAAACTGAAGCTCTGCCACGTTATTTATAGTGCTGATTTTTCGCACATAGCAAAAATGAGAGCTTCAGTTTCAGTTGGTACGTCAAGAAAAGTGCTTCAAACGCGCCACTGAAGGTGACTGCCGCAGTTGTAGGTGGAATGTTTGGAGATTGAAAACAAAGAAGACTACGGCCAAACCTGAAAACCAACCAAAACAATAAAGAGCATGAAATAAGTTTTTTGGAACGTGAGGGCCAATTCCATCTTTGCAAAATTTGGCAAAGGACCATGATTGCAATCGTGACTAACACTGAGTTAGCAAATCTAAAATTACCTGTTTGAATGTTAGATTAACGTGGTTTTTCTCTAAAAGGCGCTCAGCTAACCCAATACTAGGAGATTAATACTAGGAGATTAATTTTGGACATTAAAAGATATTAGAAAAGCGTTGTCGAGCAGAGTTATGTTTTTAATGTATTTCACTATTTGGTACGTTTTATTGACACTGAATTGTGGTTTGAATCAGTGTAGGATTGAATGAAATATTTCTATGAGCATTTCCGAAATTTTCACGGATGGAGCCGTTACGAATGACACCACAGGTCTGCTTGCAAAATTTGTTTTGTGTTATTTGATTAGCGAATAACATTTGAGTGCTTGTATGTTTATGACGAATACCCTACGTTTGTCAAATTCAATCATGACAACCTCTATTTCTTTGACTATTTTGTAGTAAAGGGTTGTTGGATCATCAACCAGAATATCGTAAGATCACAAATTCAAAAAATCACATATTCGCACTCATCTATGACATTTACTGATCTGATTTTGTAACGAATATATCATTCATTGGCTTCTTGTTTCTCATTCCTCCATTGAATTGGATCCCATGAACGGGTAATATGTGTATTCGAATTGGAACTACCTCGCAGAGTCATCCGTGTTTCAATTGGTACATAAAACTTCCATACTCACCGAATCAATATTGGGCTTAATATTATGATTGAGGCCTCTTTCCAAAAGTCTGGTTCCATCTTGTGTTGATTCGTTGTCGGTGATATTTACAAACCTATCAAAAAAATGTATAGCAAGAATAATTTTTCGATTAATGGGAGACATTAAAATGAAATAGGAAATATTGATTTTTTCACGGATATCTGTGTCCAAAATATGGAATTCTGTATAATGAAGTGTAAAAATTAAATCAGTATGTATATTACGAGTACATCATTGATTGCTTCATAGGCTGAAAATTTACAAAACCTCGGTTTTTCAAACTTTCAAGAGAAAATCTCACATTAAAATGTGTTTTTTGAATACGTTATTCGATGTACATATTCATTCGAGTTGTCTCATCAGAATTATGTTCTAGTCACTGTCAAAATCATGATGCCAAATTGATCTTGTGGATTTCTACAGAAGCATTTATGCAAAGTTTTATTGTTCAATCAGAGTCATATTTCAATGTTTGATTCCAATGGTTCAATTTGATTATAACAGTGACTCAGATTACAAAAATGATACATTACTATGTCCTGAAAGCCACGTATGATTCAGAATTGTGATACTGTGACAACTAAAAGTCAGTTTTATGGTTATAAGTTTTGTCACTGTAAAACTATGTTGTGATAGCCTTCAAGTTTTCTATCATTTCATCGGTTTGAAGAAAATACTTATATTTGGTCAAAAAATCATA